AAGGCTCAAACATAGAAAGATAAGTGCGGAAGTTCCATTCCCATTCCTCCCAGGATGCAGGGTCACCATTAAATGGGTTCGGAAGTGGAAGCCTAAGCTTACCACCGAATTCCGACTCCAGCTCTGCCATTGGTTTCTGTGCAGTCGAAGTCACCTAAGTGACCTCCTTTGATTTCTCAAAAGTTGGGCTCTACCGAAGTCCTACTGGAGCACTAAGGCTCCGCTACCATGAGAAAATCCAAGTTGATCAGAAGTGATGCAAACAACACTCCTACTGTATGACCACACTCAACCCTGAAGTACCCTAGCAGCTCCCTATTTTCCTCTGTGCACTTGAGCCATGCACCGAAGTGTCATGGTGAAGTATTATGGGGTGTGCCATGCATGCACAACTTTGACACAAACAAACAAACAAACAAACAAACAAATAAGCAAACACACAAACAAACAAACAAAGAAAGAAACAAACAAATCACACACACAAACACACGGACACACAAACACACAAACAAACAAACAAACAAACAAACAAACAAACAAACAAACAAACAAACAAACAAACAAACAAACAAACAAACACACAAACAAACAAACAAACAAACAAAGAAAGAAACAAACAAATCACACACACACACATACACATACACATGCAAACACACACAAAGAAACACACACACAGACAAACACAAAAACACACAGACACACATACACTCAAACAAGCAAACAAACAAACAAACAAACAACCAACCAACCAAACAAACAAACAAACCAATCACACACACACAAACACACACACACACACACACACACACACACACACACACACACACACACACACACACACACACACACACACACACACACACACACACACACACACACACACACACACACACACACACACACACACACACACACACACACACTCTCACAGGTTGTGCCAACCAAGCAACTCCTGTTTGCCACCATTGGCCTAGGCAAATATGATGCTCTAACTGCAGGCAAAAGCTCGCAAATATCTCTTTGGAAGTGCCTTATATGAGCCAAGCTGCCCAGGGATGTCGAGTTGCAGGGAGCATTGAGCCTGCATGGCACGTTGCACCAAAGCTGCTGAGTTCTTTGCGCTCTACAGCCTGCTTAATGTTGCAATCCATGGAATCCATGGATGAATTGCCGGCGTCCACGATGACAGCTTCTATCCAAAGGAAGCACTCAATCTCTTGTCTGCGGGAAAAGCCATGGCAGCCAGGTCCTTGGCAGCACCATCCCAAGTTCCAAGCTATGCTAAAGCAAGCAAGCTCATATTCAACCACCTGGACCCTCCATGGCAATCGCTAGAAGCCCTCCCCAAATCTTGCGAGTCTCTCTGCGTGCACTGCATCTCACAGTTTGATCGGCTGGTGTTGCTGATGTGGAGAAAGTGCGGCAGCTGCCCCTTTGACGTTACGCATGTTTGCGCATATCTGGTATACACGGCCGCCTGGGCGTTTCTGTGGCAGCAACATTCACACTCACGTCCACATGGAGCAACTCAGCTCATGCACTCAGCAAAGCAACGTAACGGTCCTGCCTTCCCAGCAAAGCCTCGCGTACCCTGAGGTAGGCAGGACTCGTTTCCATCTAGAACCTAGGCATGCGAGGCTGCCAAGAAGGATCTGGTGGGACTCGCTCCAATCGTACCCCTTCTTGCCAAACTGCACTGATTCCATCACCACTCGCATTGGTATCTGTCATATTTGTTGTATTTTCTCCATCGGTCCCGTTGGTCCCGTTGGTTCCATTGGCTCCGTCGGTCCAGTTGGCTGCAATTGCAGGTTTGGGCTGGAAGAGCATGGGATCTGCGCAAAGACCTAGGCCGAAAGCAAGATGACTTTGCTACATTTTCCCAGCTTACACGGCCAGGCAGCTGAGAAAGGAATTCTGCATAGAATCTGCCCATCTCCCACTGCAAATGCCTGACACGACTCTTGGACTCATGGCATGCCTCTTGCAACATCATCGTCTCAGGCCAACATTTGTCTCAGTTGCCATTCGGCATGTCAATGGTGAGCTGGCAGCGCTGTGGGCCCCAAATTGTTGCCCCACTCCATTCGCCACCGCATGAGACTGGCAGTCTCAGCCTGGGCGACGAGCCAGCATGACCCAGCATGCGCATGCCACTCCCCACGCCACGAAGCCAAGCAAGCCAATTCCTTCACGGAATATCTTTGCCAAAAGCTGCTCTGGCTTGCCAGCTAACCCGCAATCCTCCAAGAGCAGACTTCTGGAAAGTTCCCCATGATATTGTGGTCTTTGGGGTACCTGTTCTCAGCTTTGCTTAAAGGGAAACTTCTCCACATGCATACCTGCGACAAGGCACAGAGTGGTAAGAGCCAGCTGGGCCATATGATTGAAAACTGGCGTAACCAGTGTAACCTCGGCATCTGCGATGTTCACGGAGTCATTGGCTATCTGAAACCTTAGCAGGCCACATGAGCCATGGTCAAAATGTGCTGTCACCCTGAAGGACATGCAAACAGTAGAGCGTTCCTGATTTTCTGGGATATTTACAGAGTCCTCCATATCCCTCACAGATTCACTACGTGCTGCTGGAAATGTCCTTGTCCTTACTCCTTGCATGCCATTCCCAACGTTACAAGTTACAACTTGTGCAGAGAAAGGCTCCCAGTGACATTCTCCGTGTACAGGATATAGCCTGAGACGTCCAGCATCTCAAATTGCCAAATATTGAAGTCCTTACAGTGCAGGTGGTTCTTCTTATGCCAACTCTTGCTCAGTCCGGCAAATAGCATGACATGTGCGTCAAGGCATCTGGTGATCGTACCGGATTACCAACCTTAGCTGTGGCTCAGGCATGTACAACAAGAAGGGCGCACGCAGCCAACCGGGCAACCGAAAATTCGAAAGCGTAGGTGTCGTAGGTTTCGTTGGCGTTGGTGCTGGTGGTGCCGTTGGTGCCGTTGGTGTCGTTGGTGTCGTTCGTAGGGCCCTGAAAAGAGAGGCTCAGCTCCTCAATGCCGGAGACGTTGTCACGGCTGGTGTTGCAGAAGCTGCCGCCCAACTCTGACCCCCTCAAGAAGGGGAACTTCTGCCTCGGAGTCATCAAGAACTCGCAGCCGAGCTGTATGGTTGGTTCGCGATTCCACTTTAGCCACGCACAAGAAAACATGGTTCTTGGCCAACCCCCCTTTCAATGCAATGCCCATGTTATTATTATTGATTCCAGCAAAACCCGGGCTTGGAAACTAAGCAAAGCGGCGGATCAGCTTTGTGACCCAGTGCAGATTCCCACGCATCTCCGCAGCTGCCGTTTTGAGCAGTGAACCTAAGGTGGCCGAACGAGTCAGGTGGCTGGGTAAGGAAGTTATTGCCTCGAACTGTGGCACCTAAATCCTACTATGGCTCTAGAGTCAAATTCAGATTGGTCTTCCACACTTTGAAACCTCATTTTTGTGTCAGCCAAGCCGCCCAAAAGGCATCTGCACTCGAAGGTAGCACCTGAGGCAATGCAACGAATGCAGAATTGGCGGCTCTGTTGGGGAGAACAACTGCCCACATATTTTTGTGCCACGGCACGGGCGAGCATTGCACCATGTGCTCGGCGCCTGCGGCAAGCAATCGGTTCGGCTGTGGTGCCCTGCCCTTCTCACCTTCTAGCCTTGAGAGTTTTGACATCTGACACTCAACGGTGAGCCTGGAAGCCAACGAGCACGTGATTTGTAGCCTCAAAGGCTTTGCCCCGTCCCAAGTCCCAAGTCCTTCGGGCCCCGATGGCTGTTCCCCCGGTCCACCTGTGGCTGAGGCCGCTGCTCCTGGCTCCAGGGATGTCGCCACCAAAGCGACATCAAGGGCCTGCCAAACTCATCGTTCGCGGTATCCATTGCCGCCGGAAAAAACCACAAGAAAGCAAACACCAGGCAGGATGACCTGAGCTGCAACCTGAGCCAGGTGTGGGTGTGGACGCCCGAATGCGAACTACTGCAAGTCCAGCAGCCTGAAGCCCGAAGTACCATAGGTGCGCAAACCAGCGGCGCATATCCCGCTGCGCATGCGGCGCTGTGTTGCAAACACCTCACGGCGAGGACAAGCGTATGACTTGCCAAATTCCATCCTGGACTCAGCAAGCGCTATGAGCCCCAAGACATGTGCAAAACATCCGGCCTGCCGCTGTGGCACCAACAGGACAGGGAGAATTGAGATGAGCTAAAGCAAAACCAGGTCAAAATTAGAAGCTGTTGGGTTCCAGTCTGGAGCACGGCTGTCAGGGTGTGCTGGAGGCTCTCTTCAAGTCTCTGTGGCCAGAAGTCGGTTGGTGGGCTGCTTCTGTTCCGGTGGGCTGTGACAAAACTACTATCTGGACTTAGAGCCACTGCGAGGCCAAGGCTCACTATATTTCAGGGCCGGAAAAACCTTAGGGGTGACACCCCCCAACAGTGGAGGCCCATGACACCATGCAGCAAAAGCACAAATGCTTGCGCTTGGAACAGCCTCAATGTCAGTGGCCTCAATGTCAGTGTGCGTGCCCCCTTTACGAAGAAACACTGTGTCAGCGTCCTGGATGCAACATTCGTGCCATGTCAGCCATGTACACTTTCGCATGAATCGACTCTGTCAGCCAGAATGAGGCCCCCCTGCGAAGAATTTGTTTCCCTTAGCATCCCCTCTGGAATTCTGCAAGCAGTCCTCCTAACATCTCCTTCCAAACCAGGCGTAGGGATTTGGGGTACTGCGCCAGAATTTTGGGGGGTTGTCTGAACATAGGGGGGAAGCCACATTTTGTTGGGCTCCTTTGATTCCCCTTACAACTGAAAAAAGAAGGACACCATGTTCAAAAAAATCACGCGCATGTGGGTTCTGGGCCCCCTTGCTCGGAATGAGCGAAATTCGTTGGGCTTCACTGGCCAGCCCCACTAACACTGCATTTCGACCACCACACATTGGCGACGGCCGAAACTTCATTTGCGGGCGGTTAGACACCCTGCGAAGGCTGAGCCACCAGCTCCCAGGGGCCGCCTACCATTGGTCGCGCTTTTGTGCGCTGCCAAGGGGTAGCAAGAAAACGCAGAGCAACGCATTTGTTTCCTGTTGTGGTTGTAGAAGTCCACAGGGGATTCTAAGTTGAACATAGGGTACCACAATCAACCAACTTCCTGGACAAGTCGCATGGAGCGATCAGGAGGGCGCTGGTTTAATCAAGTGGGGCAAGGTGTGTGTGAGACATCTGCCTTGGCCAGCACCATCTCCGCGTGGTAGCTCAAATCTGGCGGCGTCCGCAGTCGTTGTTCCTCGACAGGTCTCAAGGCTGGGGGGGGAGCTCTATCTGTACCATTCCTTAAACTAACTTACCCAACCACTAAGTACCTGGCTGATCCGAAAGGCACCCTCAGAGCAAAATGCTCTTACGCAATGGCTTGCTGCGTGTGCCGTGCCATCCGGGCACGTGGCTTTGGCAAGGAGGCGGCGCCAAGACCGTCGATGAGTGCTCGCACCTTGACAGTATCCACACTGCAGTCGTCATAACTTGTCCAAAGCCCAGAGGCTCCCCGCTCGCAAGAAATCTAATTATGCTGGGCTTGACCGGTTGTGGGCTTCGCGCAAACTCATTACTCCTGTCACGAGAGCTTGGCTCCCTGAGTGCCAAGCCTTGGGTGCCAAACTCACCAAGTCTGCGCCGGGACTTCCCTGGATTGCCCACCTCACTGACGACGGACTGCCGGCTTGAGGGCAGGATGGGCCAACATGAAGAATGCACACACACACACACACACACACACACACACACGCGCGCGCGCGCGCGCGCGCGCGCGCATAAAGGTGTGACCAAGGCTGCTGCAAACAAGACTTGAGTCCAGGCCGGCCAAGTAAGGACGGCACATGGTGATTGCTAGGGCCTTCAAAACCTGCCATGACTTGAAATCGACCTTGTGAAGGCTTTGGCACGTTGCCGTGTAAAGACCTGCAAGAACACACCCCCAACTATTCAGCCTTGTTCAGCAGCCCAGCCTCTTCTGCAGCAAAGCCATCCAGCCCAATACTTGGATCTGATGCCTGCAGCGAGGCACAGGTCGGGGCGCCAATGGACACCCAGGATCCGATGCCTGATCAAGAAGTACCCGCTGCTGGGTGGTGGTTAGCAGCTGCGTGACGGTCATCAGGAACTGGCCCACAACTTCCGGCAATCCACTGCAATCCCGCCCCCCCCAATGGCCCAATGCCCGCTCGCCTCTGGTAGCACCTGGATGCGCGAGATGTTGACAAACCTGGGGGGTCACAACTCAGGTAGAGCAAAAGGCGACCGACATCCGAGGGCTCAGCACTGGCTCTGGGGGCTCGGTGTTGTTATCATCCTCGCTGAAGTTGCCTGTCGTGACCCCCTTCAGCCCACTTGGGCAAGGAGAAAGACATGCGGGTTGAACCGGTTGAACCGGTTGGATTACCACTGCCTGGGTTGAGGCTATCTCCGAACACCTTGGTGGCATCGACCTGGCAGGGCCCGGCAGAACCTGGCGCCTCTCTGAGGCAAGGACCTGCTGTAGGCTGGGCTCGGCCGCAACTTTAATCGTACCCTCCAAAGCGATGCCCAGCATCCCCAGAAGCTCCTGGCACGTGCACATATGAATCAAATTGATGCTTGTGGTGAGGGCTTACATTTTCGTGTCTTGATTTTCAGATGCAGCTTGGCCGGGCCCACGCTTCCCATGAAGGGTGCAGCAGTTGAGAGCGAGTTGAGAACCTGGCCCCGAAGCTGCCCAGCCACACGCCTGGCGCAACCTCTGGGCATCGGGCCGGCCGCACTACCTGCCCGAGACAAGGAACGCACATCGCGATCAGATCACAATTTCAAGGCTTCACAGGCGCAGTCTCGGCAGCACAGGGCATGCAACACACATGAATCATACTGAAAGAACCACCTGCCTCCTCTGATGGAATCTGGTCACATCTCTCCGTACCAAAGGAGTCTGTTCCTCAGGCATTCAGTGTCACGCCGTCACGTGGTGCTTGCCTGTGACAATCGCCTTGAGTGAGGCCTGGGCTGCAGGTTCTGATCTTCACAGCGGGGTCGGCAACGACGGCTATGGCAATAGCAGCCTGGAGTCATGAACCCAGCTCGAAGTTGAAACAGCGCAACCGCCCGTTTCCGCCTGCAACAGTTGACTCCTCAGCACAAATCGGTTCTCAAAATTTGCATTTCCATGCACATAGGCAAACTGGAGAGTCCCTTAGGCTGTTCTCGAGGTCTGGGGAGGTTGCGGGTCGTTGGTCACCTCTGTTCTGGCAATCAATGCCTTGGCGAGAAAAGCCGCGCCGTTTGTCTGCGAATGGCATGGGTGATGGCATTGGTGGCCGTAGATCGCTCCGAGCTTCGATTTTTGCAACCCCGGCTCTGAAACTGAAATGTTAAAGCATTTAACCCATAGACAGAGGTGCCAGCAGCTCTGTGCTCTGCGTGCCTCCCTGCCCAATGTGAAACCCAATGCGGCAAACCCGAAACAAGCTATGGATAGCTTGATCGTTGCAGCTGTTCGCGAAACGCGAGTGGCTTTCACCAAGCACTCAGTGGGATTAACGCGCAGGCTCGGATGTCCGGACTTTGACATCTTGCCTTCCATGCGGTTTGGGCTTATCCTTTTGGGAGGTCGACTCGGAATCGGTCAGCTTGTTGCCAATCACCACCCCTGCACCAAGCCCAATGACCAATCCAGTGCCCAAGGTGTCCCAGGCGAAGCCGGAGGACGCTGCCACCCTCCTGTACTCTCTGCGCGGGATCTGTTCCTGTGTGTTCTTGGTCACCCCTTGCACTACGATGCTGAGCAAAATGCCGGCGGCAGAGCCCACCGCAATTGCCCTGACCCTCTTCGCCAGCTTGTTTTCGGACTCTGGCTCGGGCAACTCGGTAAATTCCCTGGTAGATTCGGTAGTCTTGAGAGTGATCGGGTCTGGTCGATCCAACACCGGCTGCCGATCTCGGGGCGGGCCAACGAAGGCCGGCACAGCGGCAAGCGCCAACAGCCAAACCCTGGTGCGAGCCATTGCTTCAAGCCCCGGAAGAAATGTCTGAATCCCTTGTGCACCCTTGCAGCCTAGACTTGGTTGTGCATTCGTCTGTCTTAGCATGTTGTGCCACAGAGTTGTCCCAACACCCTTGAGCAGGAGGCTTCGCTTGTTTGGATGATCCTAGCCATGTGGGACCTGCAGGGACTGGCAGTCGCAACAGCGAGAACGCATGAACTTCTGTTTTAACCTTCGCCGAGAAATCCCAGCCAGCCCACCAACGCTCACAAGAGGGAAAATGGAGTGAGCTGAAAATTGCAATTTGCACGTGACCGAGCCAGTGGGACACGCTTTGTGCCGCCCAGGGAATACAAGCCCTGGAGCGCCCACATGCGATGCGCCAATTTATCGATTTGGAAAAGTGCCATCTCACGAGCAGCTCCGCGAGAAACTTGTGTGCCCACCTCAGAATTTGAAGGCAGTTCCTTAGCTCTCGGGCAGTATGCGCTTGAACACAACGTCAGGTTGACGTTGCGCGCATAATAGCTGTGTGTGTCCGCTTAGCAAGGAAACTAGAAGCTGCCTGGTGCCAAGGATCTTGTCTCCCCCCATTCGTCACTTCCAGCTGGCTTGTACTGCGACTCCATGTCAATGGAAATTCCTACGTGTGCTCTCGACGTGCCCCCAGGCAAAGGATACATGGTCAGGAAACCGGCTGCATCCTGGCCAATGCATCTGTCTGAGGTGCCAGCCGATCGACTTGCTCAGTCTGATCCTGATCTGCCCATTCTCTGCCAGGTCTGCTTTCAGCCATCGATTGTTCACATCATCGTCATCTTCAGGCTCGAGCCTGCCTGCGCTGCAGTGCGAAGGGGTTGCTATGCAGCAAAAGTGCTGGTTTTATCTCTGAAGTCAGCTCATGTCGCCTGTCACTTCCTTTTCAACCTTAGGATAAGCGGCCAGCGGCATCAGGACATTGAGAGCAGACAGCACGTGCAAACCATACTCTGCAGCCTGGCGGCATAGATCAAATTGTCATCCTCATCGCGTGTAACCTGGCACCCGAGATGATTCGTCAGAAAACATGTGGGAATGACCTTCCAAGGCTAGACGCGCTTTCCGCTACGCTCCCCTCCTGGCCTTGTACTCACCAATATCGTACTTCCACTTGCCCAAATGTGGGTTCATGAACCTCCTCACGGGCGCAGCCCAGGGTTACTAGCGCCATGGGCCCACCGCGTTTGCAGCCCAGGTGCTCGTAGATCTCTGGGCATGGTCGCAACTTCAATGGCTCGGTGTTGTCCCAAGACTCCCCGGGCTGCCACTTAGATGCTGACGCAATGAGCACGGCCATTTTTCTGTTCCATGGTCCGGATTTGCAGTGCAAAGAATCCGGAGCTAAGCGAGCTGCCTGAGCATTTCCAGATAAAGCCTGAGGTGGCAACACCGTGTTGATTTACGTCACATGCTGCTTTAGTGTGCCGTCGTAGTAACCGCCACAACTCCGCCGATCTGCTCGCCAATGTCCGCATTGCCGGACTGCAGGGGAAGCCGTTTCGGTTAGCGAGATGGAAGGTGACGCAAAAAGGACGGCAAATCTTGACCCCCCGCTCTTCCTGAGGGCCCATGCTTGTTTGTCTTCCTGGCTGGTGAAACATGTGAGCCTTTCTTATCCATAGTGCATACGGGTGGGCCCCAGGCCTTAAAACCCACCCAGACCATTTGAGTTGGGAACGAAACACTTCTTGGACGTACTCAGGCCAACCCAACTAAAGTGAGATAAGTAAGCTACCTCATTCCCAACAAGCGACGCGGGACTCCTTCTCGCGCGTGTCCTCGCCTTGCTGGGCAGGTCTGCGGCGGTGGTGGACTCGATGCACCTCAAGATGCCAAAGGCTGCTGTCAATGGTGTGCTGGAAAGTGCAAGCAAACAGGAAACTGCGGCGTATGCAGGTACGGCGTCGTTATTGAGGCCACTGGTGCTGCGACCAAGGAGCAGCTGATAAACGTCTCCCGTCTGCTCGCAAAGGTGCCAGCAGCTGCCGCATAGCCCATCTTCACACTGGTATATCACATTGTGGCCTCCCGTGCCCAAGCCATGCAAAGCAGCACATGCTAATGCTCCGTGTCTAGATATGACCACACACACACATCTATCTCACCACCAGCAGCAGCAGCAGCATCAGCATCATCATCATCATCATCATCGTCGCCAATGGAAGCTTAAAAGTTCGGTAGCGCTGGTGCAAATTGAGCCATGTGGCCTTTGAAGAATGAACTTGCCGCGCACGAACAAGCTGAGAAAAGTTGAGAAAGCGCTGGATAGATCCACACAGACGATGCGTCCCTGTGCTGAACTCGGCCCTTCCGCGTGTGCGCGTGCTGTGATAATTCTCGTAGTGAAGCCAGCAGGCTGAAAAACCTGAAAAAATCAGGGCGGTTTAATATCCCCCTGGCAAAAGTGGGCAAAGTGGTTAAAAACTATGCACCAGCTCATTCAAGTGGCGAGCTTGATATCTGTCTAACTAGCGAACTTGATCACGAGCTGGCCTAGCTGACTAATTAAGCAGCTGGCCAGCTGACCCAGTTTAATCTTGATTTAGCTAGCGGCCAAAGCAGCTAACTAACTGACCAAGTCGCTGCGCAAACTCGCTGACCAGCAAATTAACTTGCCAAGCATCGGACTAGCTGACTGAGCCAGCTCACGAGCTAACGCTCCCTAACTAGCCTCCAGCTCTTAAGCTAACTGCTTGCTCTCAAACTGGCAAGCTACGTATCTAGATGTATCTAGACCACTAGCTAAATGACAAGGTAGTCAAGTGCTGGCTAGCCAAGTTCTAGCCTGAATAGCTAGTTGGCTATGCGGCTATGTAGATCACTCCTGAAACGAGGAAGTTTTGATAGCCCGCAGGCTGGCCCATCAACTTGCTAACTTGCTAGAACTACCACTCTAGGCAAGCTAGCTAATAGTGTGCTACTAGCACGCAAACTAGGTGGCTACCAGCAAATTTGATAACTAGGACACAAGCCATCCATCTACAGAGCCCTCTGCCACATGTCGGCATAGACCGAAAACAGCGTTGGGGCACGAGAACAAAAGCTGGAGGATCCACGGGGGCGCGTGCTAACAGTGTTTCTCAGAATAGGGGACCCTAAAGGCAGGCGGTTTACTTCTGGCTTTTCCACTCAACCAGAAAGGGGCTCCCGAATTATTTTGAGAAACGCGCATCTCGTTGAAACTTCCGCCCCCTTGGCTCTCGCAGAAATCAGCAACATCGTTGAGCAGGATTGATTGGCAGCGCCCGCCTGCTGCACGAGCGGCATCCTCCAGCTTGGTGCTACCCCGCACCACGACTGGAGCGGCCGGCTTCGGAAACACAACCTGCCCGCACTGCAAGGGTGCTGAGCGCATCAAACCCAGCACGTCAACCCGACTTGCGCTCACTGTCAGGCAATTATATGCTGGCCACTCACTCAGGTCCAGCACAAGGAGCAACAAGCAAGACAAGCCAGCAAAGGACCGCAAAGCGCCGAAGTTTTGGCGTTTTCGCGTGGGAAAGCAAGCAGCTCCCTGAGACACAGCCTGAATGGGCCCTCGGGCTTGGCGGGAGAATTTGATGACCACCTGAGCGGGCGGCCTCTTTTTACGATGTGACAGGAGTAGTGAACAAAGCTCACGACAAAAGCAGGTCTAACATGTCTAACAAACACCGCGTTCTGTGCTGGACTGCGACCAAGCAGCTTTGGAACCTTCCTTTAGGCTGGACAGGATCCCAACCTACAAGGCGGTGAATGCGAGGCATGGGCCCTCTGCCCACAGAATGGTTTTGACAACAGCCAGGGGGCAACATCCTCAGTTGTTTTGACTCGGTCATTGTTGACCAGCAGGATCCTGCCAAGTCTACGTGCTCACGCACGTAGCTGTTCTTGCTGAGTGTCCACACTTGGCAAACCGCAGTCCTGTCGCCAGGCTGAATCCAGATTTTGGAGCTGGACTCCTGCCAGCATGTGCAGAGTGATGGAAGAACTCTTGCGACACTCCACGCCTCGCATTGCTTGTTGTGTTCAAAGGCGCTTCCTCCCTCCACCACTTCGGAGACCCCGACCGCTTCCCCATCCCAACTCCTTGGCTTCCAAATGTGACCGGCACCCCTCGCACAAACTCCGGCCGAGCATCGTGTCTAAGGCCAGTCCCAAGGGCGTCCGCAGGGACACGTCAAACCAAACCTCGCTGCCCACCCGCTTGCCGTTGCGGGGTTGCGGGCTCTGCCGCATTTTCTCGTAGTCTTGCCTCAGATGGCCAAATGCAGTGCCATTTTGCTGTTTTGCAGAGATCTTATTGCGGATTTAGTGACTCCGTTGGATGGGTGTGATCGTGCAGAGGCCCACAGGAACAGGAGCAAACACGGAGGGAAATGGGAAAGGCGCAAGGGAACACCGGTGCAACACAAACTGGGGCCACAATAAGGAAAAGCAAACTACGATCGGACCCCATCGGACATGCTTGCCTGTGACTAAACTTGCACGGCCTCCGCCAGCAACAGAGTCGTGTATGCGGCCAAGACGCTTCATCTCTTTGAAGTCTGCAAAATCTTCTGCCTTCGAGGCGGCAAGGCCCAGGTTCAAACGTCTAGCCTCGGCATGGCAAAGCTGGTTGCCAGGTCTCTGTGCTACGGCGTGCCACGCATTGCACCCAAGCTGCGTTGAGCCGCTGAAAGTCTCCTGAGGCAAGCATTGCGCATCCTCTTCATTCCGCCTTCGTCAAGTCTTTAAAAAGCTGTTGTTGACCTTTCCAGCTGTTCTGCTTGCGGTTGCTTGCCATCCCCTGACAGCCCTGCCTGATGGCTGACGTGAGCACATGCATGCCCAGGTGGCGCCGCTGAGGCACCTGGGTGCGCTTTTCCACGTAGGAAGCATCGCTCAGAACTAGGACACCGCAAGATTCAGCATAGCCCTGGATTTGCAGCCCCTTAATGCAGGCTGAGGGGCAAGGTTGAAGCGGCAAGGACAACTGCACCGCGCCATCTGTGCCGGGCCATTTCTACGGCTTCAATGCTGGGGATCTCGTCATGGTCTTGCACCCCAATCTCACTGCACTGCTTCAGCAGTTGCTGTGCGCTGGCTGCCTAATTGGGTCTGGCAGTCACGCATGTTGCCTTTTTGTTTAAGCCCTCTCCCGCCTGCTGACCCCTGAGATTCTGCTAAAAAAAACAGCTGCGGCACCGGCTGTCCGGCGAATGCAACCATGAGACCGAGAGCAGAGATCTGGACAGTCCAAAGCACCACCATGCACCTCCATGCACCTCACCCTGAGCCTGCTGCTGTGACGTCTGCTACGCTGAAGTCGCTCTCGGCATCTACGACCAATAACTCCGAAGCTACCACGGAGGCCTGGCGGAAAGGAACCACAAACTCCCTCCCAAGCCCCTTGGAACGGTGGCTTGCCCCAAATGACTCAACGCGAGTGGAATGCCACTGCGGGAGCGGCCTGGCCGCGAGGGTCCCAGGCGCGGACCACCACCAGGTGCTGCCCTGGAGGCGCCTGCAGGAAGGCCTCCGACGGCCCGACGGCCCACTCCCCACCTCCCCACTCCCGGCTCTGTGGCGCAAATGGCCAAGGTGTGTGGCGTGTGACGCTGTAAAACATGCGTGGGTTGTCAGACTCCTTGCAGGCACCAGGCCTTTGGTGAGTGACGCGGAGGCCTGGACAGCTCTCCAAATTTTGGTGACAACTTGCTCTTGGCTTGTCTGGAGGCCATCTTTGCCAAGTTGCCTTTTGGAATTTGAAAGTGCCATGAAATGCAAACTCTCTCTCTCTCTCCAAATATCTGCTTGCAGCGTTGACGGCCTGAAGCAATGCCTGAGAACAGTTGACGCATTCATGTTGCACATTGTTGTGGATTGGGCCCATAAAACTATAACATCTGCCTGAGGGTAGGGGGTGTCCAAGCTTCAGCCAGCCATAGCTTCACACAAAGCCAGTTTGGTGCCCAGAGGCAAACACAGTTGTGGCAAGGCTTTCTAAAAAGCACGTGTAGGATAGTTTGGGTTGCATCCTGCTCTTCGAAGAAGGCTGCAACAAGTGAATGTCGTTTGACCTTCAAACATGCAACAGGCTGAAAGATTCATGCACAAGAGCTTCGCTAGCTGTCTGAGCACAGCACCCGACTTTCCTCCAAAAGCGGCTGCTGGTAGGATCGTCCTGGAGCTTGTAGGCCCACAATTGACAGGCTTGCCACCCAAGCACCAGGCCCAGTCAACTTGGAGCCCTTCGCCTTGCATTGCCAAGCTCCCGTGACCCCGTTGGCCCGGCATTGCAGCCGAGATGCTCCCGACGGCCTGGTAGAGCTGGCAGTTTGGGGCGAGTGCTTCAGATTCCCTGCCTCGAATCGAATGAACTCATACTTCAGGTCCAAGGGCAGCTCATCGGTCCTCAGACTCCAAGCGGAGCGGCTGCGCGCAGCGCGCCGCTGGGACGCTGGCCAATTGAAGGTGTTGACCAGGAAAGTTGTCCTGAAATCCATTGCAATCCGCATGCCCTGGATGCAACAAGAAAGCAGCCGCACCTCAATGACCGCCCCGTTTCAGGAGTAACCTCCGAAACAAAGGCATGATGCATATGTGCTGGGCAATGTGCAAACAGCATGGCTTCCAGTTTGAGCGCCACGCCGTGACGGCGCCATCTGAGGGGCTTTGGTCTGCAACAAACTTTGGGGTCGCGGCAGCGACGGAGATACCGCTCAGGGTTCCCAAAGCAGGGCGGCCATCGACGCTGTCCAATGCATCTATGATGTCCTGAAAGGATGACTGCAGCAGTGCGTGGTAGTACCTTCTGCCAGGTACCATGGTACCACCGCCACCAGCTTGTATCTGAAGCATGCCTTCCGCCGCCACGAGCTTTGTTGGTAGCACGCGGTCAAGGAGTGGTGGAATAGCGTCTTCCACCAAAACCCACCGCCAACTTACTGCCGGTGCTGTGCAAGAGCCGATGCTCAGCGTTTCTCTTAGGTCCACTGAAGCGCTGGTCGGCGGCACGCTATCGGCATCGTTGATGCCTGAGTAGCCATAGCTGGGGAAGGGCACCTGTACAGCGGTGAAAAGCCCTGCGATGACTTGCATGGAGCTGATGGCGACGGTCCCTGTGTCGCGCAAGCCGCGCCGTCGCACAGTCACGGAGAACTCATGCAGCCCGGCGGGGAGATCGCCGGCTGCTACCCTCATCTTTGGCCCTGACGCGCCTGAGCCATCGGTGCGGCGGGACCTGGCTGGAATGAAGTTTGGCAGCTCGGCACAGGCGTCGATCTCACCCACTTCAACCACTGAGAAGCAATCCCAGGCAAACTGGAAGTCTTCTGGAGCGCTGGTCGCAGCAACGGGGTCCCAAGTCTCTGCTTCCAACTCGAATCCACACTGAGCAGCTCGTCGGGGACCCAGAATATGTACCTTCACCGGCGGCATGGGTTCCACGTCGACCTTGAAAAGGACAGCCGGCCGTGGTGCTGCTGATTGCAAATCGAAGGCTGCCTCTGCTTTCAAAAGGTGCGAACTACCAGCTTGCAGAGTGAAAGCTCCTATGCTCACGCGGTTTGGCTCCACAGCCAGGTCCGTCAGCTCGGAGGACGTCAATGGCTGCCAGGCCCCCATGAACGAGTGGTACCAAGTGACGTTGGCTGGGCCAGGGCCTCACTGATATTCCTACATGTCTTTTTAACACATCCCCTGATCCAACGCTGAAAGTTGGTGTCTAAACTAAGCAGCGCTGCTAAAGGGTTCTGTGCATGTTTCCTAAAACTAGCTTTGAGGGGGGGCGCTGCGGAAAAAAACAAGGAAAAAAAGCGAGCCTGCTGTGCTAGCTTCAGACCCTTCAAACATCAACCTGTGCATCCCCACAACACAAGCACAGAGTGGATGAGGGCCACTCAAAAGCACAGCAGTTTGCAGGAGGTTTGCTGGGTTCACGCGTCATCCACAAATGAACGAATGAACGAATGACGGAATGACTGAATGACTGAATGACTGAACTACTGAATGACTGAATGACTGAATGACTGAATGACTGACTGACTGAATGACTGACTGACTCACTGACTGACTGACTGAATGAATGAATGAATGAATGAATAAATGCATTCATGCATTCATGAATGCTTGGATGCATGCATGAACAAATGGATCAATGAATGAGTGAGTGAATGGATGAGTGGATGGATGAACCAATGGCAGGAAATAAAAAGGTGCGTAAACACATGAAGGCACACACACACACACATGAATGCATGAAAGCATGAATGCATGAAAGAGCAAACACATGCTTGACTGAGCGCACGAAGAACACAAGGTCACAAGCAACAAGCCAACGAGCGCATCCTTCAGATTATCACACTTGACACATGTTCGGGGGCCCCGCCTCTTCTGGGATCTCTGCCTGCGCAGTCCAGTGCGAAGCTGGCCTCTTCTGTGGTCACCGCCAGCTCCAGCCTCTCGCTCCGCGGCATGGTGAGCTGAGTGGGGCCCACCGGGAAAATCGCCGGCTGCGCCTGTGAGAAGCCCCCCCGGACGGGAAAAGAGGGGAGTGTGAAATGAAGTGAAATGATATGACATGAAATGAGACATTCGAAGGGGGTTGAGCCAGCATCGCAGGTTTTTGGTTTGATTGCGCAAGTCTCCGCTCGCATGTTTGGTTGTCGACCTGCTTTTGGTCCCGGCCTGGGACGCAGAGCCTACGATGTTGGCAAAGGCCACGACGGTGAGGTTGGTGCGGTTCTCATCTGCGAAAGCCACCGTCAGCTCCACCTCCAAGCGCCCGCCCAGGGAGGGGGCCGTTTGGGAGAGGACACTGGGGCTAATGGTGAGCTCCCGGGAATTGGCTGCGGTGGCCCCGCTTAGCACCGCCAGCAGCGCATCCGAAGCAGAATTTGCGCCCAGGGACCAAAAGAACTGGGCTCCGCCCTGCGGGTCGTGCGAGCCCGCGCCACTGAAAACCAGCTCGCTGCATGCGTGGGCGGTGCTGGGGATGGCCACTAGGTGCACTGCGGGGTCGCTTGACCCACCCTCTTGGCCACATACGCCGCATGCCAGCAGCAGCCAAATCTCTAGACCCCGCAGTGGCATTCACGCCAGGCTGCGCCGGGATCTAGCCATGCATCCAGCGCCTCGAGCGTGGGATGCTGGACTCTGCCCGAGCCTAGGCCTGCCCAACGCTGCCGCAAAACCTCAGGGTCTACAAACGTTTTTCTCAGAAACCAATGCTTTGAAGGTCAAGTGCAACGTAGGGTACATGCAAATGCGGTCGCGCCTCCTGCCGTGCCTGTGCAGCTTCCAAGACTCAAAGCTTTAAGCTTGAGCCCACATAGCTACTGGCCGTGCGGGCAACAGGTCACTGCTGTAAACACTAGCCAACCCACCCCTGCGAGTACAAGCCTTGTCTTTATCTTCTACCTATGCGCGTTCCCTATTTGCTTAAGGTACTCGGAGGCGCCACGTGGAGCTGTCTCCTAAATAAGAGAACCCCTCAAATGGCAATTCTCCTGCTCCCTTCGAAACAAAAAACAAAACAAAAAGTGCCCCACACAAAGACACCCCATGCGTTGCACAGGCCGCGCCGCTCGATTTTTGCACATGGACCGTTTCTGGCCAAGCTCCCATTTTCTCAGAAACAGCGGCACGCACAGGACTCATGGCAAAGGACTGGGTGCCAGAAGCAAGGCCCATCTCTCGATCCCATGCCCTTGCCGCGCTTCCCGCGCAGGCCTGCCATCTGAGAGGCTGAGGACTCTAAAAGGCCGTATGAAATCAAAAGTCTGATCCGATACGCGCGGCCCACTCGTGAGGGATAGGCCAGGTAAGGCCGTGCAGCTGGCGCTTCAGCCCAGCCCCAGCTGCAGGCTTGGCTGCATGATATGGCGATGCCGACTTTTGGGTGCAGCCAATCGCGCGAATGCGGCCCAGTCGCCTGCACTTTGACAGTGCTCTTGGCTGTGGGTTTGTGGCCTCGGAACCTGACCTAATTTCTGGCTTTGGCCAGCCGCCCGCTCCAAGTCGCTTTTGGCAGAGCATCTGGCGCGGTGACTGGGAAAAAGCCTGACTGGCTGCACAGCGAATTAAAGCACAACACTGCACACAAGCAACATGTTCAAGGCCGCAAGCATCACGCACACACAGTTAAGGAGATTCTGATTCAAAATGATGCAGGCGAACACCACACCCACATGTCGAGCTATCCTATGCCCAAAACCACCACCCTTTACAACAAGAAGCCCTGCGCAATGAATGCGTTGCATGCCTAAGGCTTGCTTCCTAGGAGAAACTTGGCATCTCTCTGTGCATCGGATAAGCACTGTGCCGAGCTCGATGCATTTGACACGCCCTTCCTTTTGCATCGCTCCGCAGCCTTCGTGCCTCATCATGATATGTAGGATCTATGGTATTTTGAACTGGCACGGCAGCATTTGTTCATGACATCATCTTAGGAAGCAACCATTTGGCCACACTTTCATTCTGGCCTGAAACAGTCAATCACTTGAAGCCTGGAGCAGAGCGATGGCAAAGCGGAGGCCGCGGGAGAAAGCTGAAAGGCCAAATCAAGCAATTGGTGCACAGCATCTCAGGCGTCAGGCCTCATTCCAAAGCCAGCCGTGTGACAGCTGAGGGGCAATGAGTTTCCGCTGAAGCTTCTTCGTTGTCTAAAGTTCCACAAGCTCTAAACTTCTGCTCTTCTGGCTGACTCTATTTTCACTCGAGGCATTCTACCGCAAGGCTGAATGAGGGATCCAGAAAAGCAACAGACCTGCAAGGCTGGCGGCGTGCAAACGATGTCCCTGAGGCGCCTGCAATCGGCGAAGCACTGGCACCGGACCTGCAAATGCACTCCAAAGATTGGATGCGATGCGGCTCAAGCTTGACCAGCTGGCCCAGCACTTGGTCAGAGTCGTGAGAATGCAAAATTCATTGTGGCGCCTGCGTCAGATCTGGATGCCAAAATCTCTTTGAGACGCTTCAGGGCTGCAGATTGAGGGCCGCCCAATGCCTGCACAAGCTCCTTAGCTGCAAGAAGAAGATACTTGTTTGCAGCGGCGCTCAGTTCTCCCGGTAGCATTTGCTCTCCCTTGGTACCATGTGCTATGTACTTTGCCATATATATCCCGGCTTCTTTCGAACTGGCCCGGCAAGCAATGCCTGAGAAACGCTTTTGATGGAGCGACGCTGCCGGATTTGCCACCAGCCAAATGAGTTGAACCATGAGAGGTTTTTACATGCACTAGAATGGCACTAGGGAGTGGCAAAGGGCCAAAACCCAATAAATCTTGGGGCCAGGCCTTCCTCTTGCATGTAATCTTGAACTCTCAAGAACCTAGAGCCTGATCCCATTTGCCTCAAGCAATTTCAAAGGCTCCTCTGGGAGGCCGTTGGAGACGCTGATCTTGGAGGCTGTCCAGGGTGAGATCAAGTTGCGGATGACCTGGCACTCAGATCCTCTCTAGATGTGTGATACTCTTTTCCTGACACAACAAAGGAACGCCTTTTGAGTGGCCCTGCCTTCCAGGCCATGGAAAATACCATTGAGGAATTCACTACATACATGTGGGAAACGGCTTCCATGTAGTAACTCCCTGGCTGCAAAGCGCACCGCAGCTTCTCCACAGTGTCCCTGGACAATTGCCTCAGGCTCACATCCTTCAGGTCGTAGACCTGGATGTATCCCTTCAACGTCCTGGTGGCCTCACTGTCCTGCGCGACCCACAAGTCCTTGTACTCGAAGACTGCATGGCTCCAGGCAGTGATATCAGCTGGTGCCAGGTCCATTCCCGATGCCAGCGTGCCCCCGTGCCAAATGGAGACCGGCGAGCCATCCGCGGCCAGTAGCGCGCAGGGGTGCACCATGATGAACTTCCTCACCTTATCTTCCCCGGGGAAATGGATGCCCTCTGTGCTGGCTGCCTTGCGGGCTTGCTCCCGCCTCACTTCGTCCATGTTGTTGGCAGCCCTCCAGGCGCAAATCTCGCGCCACTTGGCCACCGCAGCCACGCGGTCGTACCCCATGCCCAGCACAAGCCGCAGCGCCTGCTGTTGCGTCAGGGCTGACACCTGCGAGCACATCTGGTGGACCTCGGCGACCAAGGCATCCAAGCAATGGCTCTCCAGGCCCGGCGGCAGCTGGTCCTCCGCCAAGAGGAAGCCTGCGGCCTTCCGCATTCCTTCTGGGACCTCCAAATCTGCCTCTTCGCACCGAGACGGGCAGTCGGAGATATCAGCTTTGCACCTAAGCACTGTCTGCCTGCCCGCCTGCCCGCGAAACCCGCATTGCCGCCTTCCCCCATCCAAGGCCGCGACGACTCTGAGGACAACTCCGCGGTCGGCGTTGATGCAAGCTCCGGGCCTGCCTGGGCCTGGCGTACGGCGCGGCTCGGGCAGAAACAAATGGAAAACCAACGAATCTCCTCATGCTCTCCGCCTAAGTTACTGTTGCAGCCCCCAATGAAGACATGAAGGGTCTTGAGATCGGTCGCAGAAAGCCAGCCTTCCAGGTGGGCTGCAACACACGCGTCTGTGCCGCAGCTTCTCCAGGGGTCCTGAATGCAACCCAGAGTTGGCATGGCAAAAGCTCGCCAATGTGCAATGTGGTCCTCCTTAGGAGGTCTTGGAAACGCTGCGCTGTCTCGGAGGAAGGTCCGCCTGAAGCGAGACTACTGTCGCGTTTTCGAGTCGCCTTTCCGACGCGCCTAAAAGCTGGAGAAGCTCATCAGGCACACCACCAGATACCGAGATCTTTGAAGCCGTCCACGGAGAGATCAAATTGCGAGCAATCTGGCGCCAAGAAAGTGACAATCAATCTGCTTGTTTCTGCGCCCCCACTCTAACCCCGCAAACAAAGCCTTTGTCAACCCGGACCTTCCAGGCTGCAGCGAAGAGTGGAGACGCGTGGATGACAAACATGTGGCTGACAGCTTCGACATAGAAGCCGCCGGGCTGCAAGGCAGCCTTCACCTTCTCTGCCAGTTCACGCGAAGAATAGTGGCGCCAAGTCAGGCCACGCATGTCGTAGACTTGCACATAGCCCACCAGCCTTCTGCTCTTTTCGCTCTGCTGGCTTATCCATATATCCTTGTACTCAAAAACTGCCCGGCTCCACTCAGAGACCTGGTCCAGTGGCAGTGTGGTCGCATCGTTCACATTGAGGGTGCCGGCGTGCCAAATTGAAACTGGGCAGCCGGAAGTGGATAGGAAGGCACAGGGGCTAACGGCTACAAGCTTGTCATACACCTCTGCCTGGTTTGGAAACTGTGCAGCGCCATTGGACAGCATGATGGCCACGTAGTTCTGGCGAATGTCATCCATTCGGTGTGCCCGCCGCCATTCTACGACTTCGCGCCATTTCGCAACTGCCGCATGGGGGTTATAGCCCATCCCCAGGACCAGTCTCAGAGCCTGCTGCTTGGAGGCTGGCGCTACGGTGCAGCAAGCCTTGTGCACCTCCTCCACAAGAGCTTCCAAATTTCGGTCCTCCAGGCCTGGTGGGAGCTGCTGTGGCTGTAGCCAAAATCCGGCCACCTTGACTGCCCCCTTGGGACAACCGTAGGAGCACCGCGTGGAGCACGAGGAGTTGCTCACCGAGCTCTCCTCCGACGCTCGCCGCGGATGTTCCGGGCGCAGCACCGGCGCACCCAGAGGCGCCGCCACATCGGCAGCGCAAAGGCGCCGGAGCTTGGCAGCCGATGCCTCGCCGCCCAGCTCTGCCTCACAAGTGCGAGCACGCTTTCTTGGCTCGCTGCGGGCCCAGCTACGCACATGCACGCACGACAAATCAAATATTCCTGTCTCTCCCTCCAAACGGCGACATCTCGGCAACAAACCCCGAACCCCAGGTCCAAGTGGCAATGAGCTCCTGTGGCACCTCGCTGGAAACGGTGATCTTCGAGGCGGTCCAAGGGGAGAGGAAGCCGCGGACCATCTTCCAAGCCATGGAAAAAACCCGCGGGGCATTGACCACGTAGATGCGGGCCACCGCCTCCACGTAGAACCCCCCAGCGGACAGAGCCCCCTTGAGCTTCTCGGCCACCTCCTTGGAGGTGACCTGCCGCCACCCCAGGCCTGCCATGTTGTACACTTGGATGTAGCCAGTGAGTTGCTGGGTCCTCTCTGTGTCCTTCGAGATCCAAAGGTCGGCGTACTCAAAAACCTCACGGCTCCATTCCTTGAGGTGTTCCACTGGCAGACTCGAGAGCTCATCAGCCCTAGGCGCACCAGCATGCCAAACTGACACGGGGCGGCCATCGGCTGTCAGGAGCGCACAGGGACAGCCACGGAACAACTTGCCGTACACCTCCTGCTCATGTGGAAACGAGATGTCGGCGTTGCTGCGCATCATCGCGTCGAGCCTTTCGCGCACCAAGGCCATGCGCTGCTCCTCTCGCCAAGCGGCCACCTCGCGCCACTTTGCGACGGCCGCCTCTATGTTGTAAGCCATGCCTAGCACTAAACGAAGTGCCTGCTGCATGGATATTGGCCCAG